ACACCACACAATCACATTATAGGATAAATATTAACAAAAATAGTGCACAATGGGCGGTCTTATCGCACAAGGCGATTTCTTACAGACAACCTTTAAGTAAGCAGTATCTTTAAGTAAAATATGTTAAATAATAACTTTGGTATTGGTGTTAACATATCGAAAGGCATACATCGCTGTGATTAGAACAGCACTAAACGCTAAAGCCGTAGCGTAGATTCAAATGAATTCAAGACTCGGCTTGGCCGGTAACGCGTCGTCACAAGGGCGCCGACATCGATTCACGGCGAGACTCGCCCAGCTATGAAGAGTCTTCATCGTACCACGTGCGGAAGTCGCAGCTTTCGTCATAATCGTCCTGAAAACAGCAAATAATTTTAACACAATTTTTACCAATGAGTATGTGAGAATCAACAAGTTTATCATATTAGCATAATAAAGTATAAACTGACCGCCATCCAGGCGTGGTCGAGTACGTCCTCAGCAGCAAAGCGCAGCTCCGGCTGTGGGCGCAACATGTTAGCGACCAAGTCGATGGCTCCCGCGGACACGCGCTCCCAGTGCGGGGCGGGGAACTCTAGCCGGGCCGACAATATCGCATCGAACAATTTCTCTTGATCACCGTCAGGAGACGAGAAAGGCGGGAATCCACATAGCAATATGTATAAAATCACGCCAGCCGCCCAAACATCAATCTAGAAATAGATAGACTTTGTTAACACCTATATATTATGTACCCATGTTTGCAAATGATTAAATGAATATGAATAGATTATATGTTTTTCTGTGTAACTATTTTCTTATCTCTAACCCTACATGAAATGGTGGTACATATTATTATATTGTTTAGTTGTATTTATGTATATGTAAGAGGGTCATGTGACTGTGACATGTCCATAAAACGTAAGTATTTGTAGAGGACTAAAGCCATTTTGTAAACAAAGTTAAAAGTTCAAGTTCACTTGAATAGTTAAAATGGTGGGAAAATATGTTATCTTCAATCTAAAACAACAACCGCTTTTACATAACAAGTCACTGGTACATTGTTTAGGATGGGAATGGTATTTTCTGAGAGATGTGAGGTGGAATGCATGTTTTATTTCCATACAATCACATAACAATCGTAATTGTATTGTCCACTTTAGATTGTTTACGAATATGATAAAAATATTACCTTTAGTCCATATCCAGTCTCCAGTAGTATTTCAGGTGCTACGTATGTAGGAGTGCCACAAACTGCGTGCAGTGGTCGCCATACTTCTACGGCCAGACCAAAGTCAGCCAGCTTCAGGCCGCGTATGCTGCCATCCAAACCCACTTCCACCTGGAAATTCGTATTACAACATTTATTAATTTAGTGCAATCATACTTACATTGGCGGCATTTCGAAATTGTTAGAATACACCTGTACAAATTTAATATACTTCTTCCATTGAGTATGCTTCATGAGATATGTAATGAAATAAACATAATATGTACAAGTGATGATGCTAGTTTACAAGATATTTATTAGACTGATAGTATAATCTTATTACATGCTTTCACTTTGGGGTGATAACTCAAATGTTTCCAAGGATTGTTAGTTGATATCTTACCAATAGATTTTCGGGTTTGATGTCACGATGCACTATAGAAAGCGAGTGTAGATATGCGATAGCAGATGTTAAGTGGCCGATTAGCAAACGCGCTTGGGGCTCAGAGAATTTGGAAGCGGCCGCGATACTATCAAACAAGTCTCCACCTAAAAATATAAATAATGTTCAAGTGGAATGATAATAATAAAGCAATGTTCTATTAGATATCATTGGAGTATTGTTAATGATGAAATGATTGGGAGTTCAGATAACAGATAAATACACACCACTGACTAATTCCATTACAAGGAATAGCCACTCAGGACTATCCTGTTCTTCGATTAGAGATACAATTCGTGGATGACACAGCTTCCTCATGACTCGAACCTGAAGATAAAAACCGATCCATTATAAAACATCGAATATCTAGCAACATTTATAAATAAGTTCTTTGGCATCACATCAAAGGTCTAAGCGTACGCGACAGCGCAAAATATTTTCTCTGCTCTATAAACAGCTGCATGACGCGTCATAAATTTTTATGTTTGCATTTTAAGTTTCGTTTAATTATTTCATTGCATTATAACACTGGTATTAGGTAAAACGGTTATAAAAGCTGTTATTAGTGTTAGAATATTTACCTCAGCCTCCACATAGTGTTCCTTGCCTTTGCACTTGGCCTTATCAATAACTTTGAGGGCATATTCCTTCCCAGTGGTCTTGTCTTTACATATCCGTACAACAGCGAAGTTGCCGTCACCTAGTATTGATATGACAAATGGACGATAATGATAAAGTATTGCTGGTAAATATAGATAATAAAAACTGGTCAGAGCCTATTTAAGTAACATCTTTCTTATATCTTATAGGGATTTTCATAGTCGTCTTTATTTGTATAGCACAATGATATTTTATAGGTACAAGAAAAGAGAAATAAAAATTGCAATTAGTTCTCCTATCAAAATATTTAAAAACGGATTGAAGTGCATGTAAAATGTGCACAAATTATACTATTATGCTAAAGTGTAAAACCTTTAAATTGTGCGGTCAACAACTATAGTGTGTTAAAGTCTGAAAAATCTATAATCATACAATATAAAATATCACTGCTCATCAATGCAAAAATTATAAATAAACAATACACTGACCAGAATCTATGTTATAAATGACTAACACAAGACACAAGACAAATACACTATGGAAATATAAGGAACTGAATATAGGAAAAATGAATGATGGTTTTATTTGAATAAACTGAAGTAAATACCTATGATTCTGCCGACGCTGTACTTGAGTCTTAGAGGTTGTGGTAGTAAGGGGGCTGTGGACTCGTCAGAAACATCGCCGGTTGCGCCAGCTCCTGCCTCACTGGCCGCTCGAGCAGCGCCTCCACCCGCTTTCACAGGCATACGCGGTTTTGGGCCGGTCCTGTAGAATATGATAGTCAGTTCCTTTGTGTTTTTACAACAATAGCAATTATGCTATATATCTATGGGAAATGTATTAGAACATACCTTGAATTTCTTGATATAGGAGTTTTTCTACATTGTAGCACAGCCTTATTTTCTTCGAATTCCAATTCAAAATCCTCTTGGTTGACCCTAAGAATAACATTAAAAATAAGTAAACATCCCATACAATTTCATAATAATTACAACATGTCTAATTGGAAAATAAATGGGTACCTCTCATTTCCATAAGCAAAGAACACATCTTCAACTTCAAAGAATTGGTTCAGTGCTGTGACTACAGATCCGGTTCTTGTGAACACTTTACGGACACAACCTGTGTCTAGTTTAACACATTCAGTTATAGCGGCAAGTGCATGTTCCAGTGTGGGGCTGTTGCGTTTGTTTAGTAACAATCTGCACACCTGTCGACCAGTATTATTATGAACAGATAATAATTATAATGTTCTTGACAATGTACATGTAATTCAATAGGATAAAAAGACTTATTTTCCTCTTAATTGGCGTGTACCAATGGCGTCATTTTATACTATATACCAAGTAACAAAAGTTTTCAGTCTCTGATTCACAATAAATAGAAGTTAACTTAGGTGTTGCAAATGTGTAGACATTAATCTTTTATTATCATTTAGTCCACAATCAGTTGCAGCGAAGTGACACATAGTTACAAGTAAATAGATAAACAAATGTCTTACCTTCCGTGGTTTAACTCCATTACGTATAATAGTAACTATGCGTGGTCTGACAACATTGTCTCCAGCAGGGCTAACTCTCGCTGTCCCGTTGCCAGTAGTGCTACTACCATTTGCCTATAATATTTTTACTATTGTTAAACCCACAGTTATGAGGAAAATAGTTATAAGCTTTACTTGGAAATTATTAATTACATTACCTGCAAATATCGGGACAGTCTGTTATTAGCTCTAGCTGGGGATGGACTTGAGCTATCACTCAAAGACTCGGGGCCACTAAGTCTGAAAGATTGAGGGGTCACTGCACTGGCTTCATAATCTAGACGTTTGAAGGGTTCACCAAATCCACTACAGACATATGATTGCCCATCTTCTAGATCATCCAGTTTGCCTATCTGCGGACAAAATAATATAATAGATATAAAAATTTCCAGTTGTAAAAAGCTCATCTTCTCATAACCACTAATTAGAATATCCTAACAACTTACTTTTCTACCCTCAAGTGAATATATTGCTCTGACACCACTTGGCAAAGTTACATTGTCAACTAAAACCCTTGTTAGATCTGCCGTAAGACTATCAAAGGACCTGTAAACAAAGATATAAAACTATATTATTAATTGGTCATGTCAAATGTGATGTCAATGTTTATCAACTAGAAACTATGTGCTTTTGGTGTATTTAATGTAATTGAAACTTGTTACAACTATCACAATGATAATAGGGTCAATTTAATGTCTCAATTTGCAATGAATGAATCAAAAAGTATGTAATAGAAGGAAGATGATAATTTGTTTCTTTAGGAACAAACAATTATATTGATTTGAAATCAAATGGGTATTTATACATCACGGGAAGGAAAGGCAAAATTATAATCAAACAATTATCATAACATCCTGTACAACCTTGATAGGGTAATTGTTGCTTATTTAACTCACTACAACAACCACACAATCAAATTAGGGCTAGATACATCACAATGTTTACTGCCAGAATTTTGATGCATTTAAGTCATCATATCAAACTTTTCATAATTTATCATAATGATAAGTTATGGTGATTATTTTGCATTATTTATAATTATGATACTGAGTTCTTGGAATGGAAAGAGTAATGTACTTATATGCATGTACATATATTATTATAATTATGATCTAATTATGAAAGATGTGTATGTGTGTCATATTTTTATTGTGCTTTGATATTAATAAATAAAATTACTATCACATGACTCCTGACTTGCCAACAAATGGTAGACCAGAATGTAGAGAATTATTGGAATTGAATTAAATTAATTGAATCGAATACGAAAGTGTATCGTGTAATATAACAATAATAATGTGCATAAATGACACAAAAAATAGCTCACCATTGCAAACATGCTATTACATTCTCAACAATTGAATATTGCTTCATAACTTAACAATGGGACGGTTGTAGTTCTGTTGTAGACTTACATAAATACTTTATAATGTCCAATTTAGAATAATCTATAGGTATGTATAAAAGTGAAAGTGTTCTAATGATTTTCTAACTGGAACTAATAAGAGTTTCCTTTAGCAGTTTACAAAATGTAACACCAACCTGTATCTTTCTGGCAAGACTGGAATTATGACACCTGAATAAAATTTATCACCATTTCTAAAAAATCTGACTCGTTTTGCTTTCCGCGCGGCTGGCGTTCGGAGCAGTACGTTACGTCGGTTCGTCCTAGTTTTCATAATTTCCATGTCGCTAAAGTCCTTTTCCAGCTCACATACTGAGCTCGATCGGCTGCCACTACGGCTTAAATTATTCTCCATCTAAAATACAATAATAATTGAATTTATAGTCACAATTAGAGCAGCATAACGGATCATCTTTACAACACGATCTAACCCTCACCTTTTTCCTTTCGGTTCAACGAACTATTTCAGTAATATATCGAAGGAGCAATAAGTCATCACTACTAGTGTTCTCCCATTTTGCACTTTGAAAAAGTGAAAAATATACAGGCAACGAAATTAGAATAATAATTTCTGTAAAACTCATGAATCACACAGGAATCAGCGCAGACAGATAGACGAATCAAACGAATGAACGAATTACGAACTTATGAACGGCAGACGGAACGGAACAATAATTATGAAATGAAGTGAATGAAGATCTACGTACGATTTTCATTTTTCAAATATTGAATGAATGAAATCGAAAAACCATGAATGACTTTTTTATATCATGTAACATACAATGCAATATATCATTTAATATCCGCTTACTATAATAAAAGGGCCCATTCACCATCCAACGAAACAATTAAAATTGGAGAAAGTAAGAATACAAGCATCGTGTCACGTCCATCTGCATGGATGGATGGATGCAGATGGATGCAGGGCGCTTCTAACCAGCTTATCTGGAAGTCATTGAGGGAGGCCTATGTTCAGCAGTGGAAGTCCTATGGCTGATATCATGGTGATCAACAATATAAGAAATATTATCTTAAGTTTCACAAAAGGTTTTCAGGCTATAACAATAAATTTTTTTCTTTATTCATTTTAAAATATAAATTCCTTTTAAAACTCTTATTTAATAGTTCAAAAATAATCAAGTTTGAATCCAAAATTAGTACAACGATTGGTTTGTAATTTATTTACCTACCTATGTATTATGAGTATCCGTCGAATTATCAAGATACTTTTACGTACCATGTTTACATAATAATTATTTTTTTATATGGCAATACACAGTAGCCATCGAAATAAACTAGCCACGAAAAACAGGTGACGCATTTATCAATTTCGTTTATGTCAAAAGTGCAGACAAAGAGTGTGATTATTTTGTAATTTTCCACATTTTTATAAATTTCTGTGTAAAATGTCGTCGAGAAAAAAGGCACTTCTGAAGGTAATTATCCTTGGCGATAGCGGTGTAGGCAAAACTTCGCTTATGAATCAGTTTGTCAACAAGAAATTTTCCAACCAGTACAAGGCAACAATAGGCGCAGATTTTCTCACGAAAGAGGTAATCGTAGATGATCGAATCGTCACAATGCAGATTTGGGATACTGCTGGCCAGGAACGATTCCAATCTTTAGGAGTGGCGTTCTATCGCGGGGCGGATTGTTGCGTCTTAGTATTTGACGTAACTGCCCCCAACACGTTCAAGTCCTTGGAAAGTTGGAGGGACGAATTTTTGATACAAGCTTCACCAAGGGATCCTGACAACTTCCCGTTTGTCATTTTGGGCAACAAGATTGACCTGGACAATCGCGCTGTTTCTGCTAAGCGGGCACAACAATGGTGTCAAAGTAAAAATGATATTCCCTATTTTGAAACGAGTGCCAAAGAGGCTGTGAATGTGGAGCTTGCATTCCAGACCATAGCTCGGAATGCTTTGGCCCAGGAGACAGAAGCAGAGCTGTACAACGAGTTTCCTGATCAAATCAAGCTTAATGCCAATGACAATGGTCGTAACAGGGATGGTGACAACTGTGCTTGCTAGGCCCTAAGAAATATGCTTCAATGATGGCAATTTATTAGTCTCAGATTATATAAAGTAAACATACATTAAAGTATAATAATATTCTGTAAGTAATGTTTCCTTTTATATCATGTAAAAATGTATAGAAATATAATGTACCACATTCACACATACTTTTAATTGGTTGCTGCTCATGAAATTTTTAAAATAACTAGATTCTGTAAAATCTTTGTTTAAGTACAATATAATTTTGATAAATTGGCAAAAAATCTGTTAATAATTGATTAGTTTCTGTTCCAAAGATAACTGATTCCAAAAGTGGTCTAATAATTATTATTATAATGTATGCTAAAATTTACATTATTGTAAAAAACTAGTTGAAATCGGTTTGAAATGTGTCAAGGTTACTACTTATTGTACCTATCTAGTGGTGACCATTTTATCAATATTTTTGGTGTTTGATGATGTTTCAAGTACATTAAAAAATATCTTCTCTGTTTTATATTTGTTACCATACAAAATTTGAGACAGCATATTGTATAAACATTAATTTACTTTGTATTAATTTCTTACTAAACTTTACATTCTAGAACTCAATTATTTTTCACTGTGACCTTAATAAATGACAAGTTTATTTTTGTTAAAATGGGCTATGGACTAGGGTATTCCAAAATGATATAATTATGTATAAATATTTAAAACATTAGAAAAATACTGCAGGGTATATTTCTCCATTTCATTCAAAATAATATTCTCTGAAACAGGCCTGTTTACATTACATTGAGTGTGTAAGAAATAAACTAATTGTTAGGTGATTTTGCTAAACATTTCTAAATTAGAAACAATGATTTTTATGTTATTTGTACTGATTTAGTAAAAGTTTATTTTCAATGGCACCCACTTGGCTGATCATGAGCAAAATTGTTAAATAAAAAGAATTTGCCTCTATTAGGTATTTAAATAACAATATCAAAGAAATAACCAATTAATTTTTTTCTGTACTCAATGTTGTGTTAGATGAATATAACTTTGTATAGAAATGTGATGAAATGTATACCTAAAACATTCATGATATACAAAATGTGATATTTTAAGTTGAATTCTTTGTTAAAATATGTCGATTGTTATTTGTTCAGTTGCCTTTTGGTAAAAAAATACCGAAATATACAGTATTGGTGTGGAAATTCGACTGGTGTGGCTTCACCTCTCTGTTTACCATAATTGGATTATCATTGTGGAAAGCGGACAGTGTTTGAACAGAGTTAATGCAACATTCAACATTTCTGTATATATTTGGATTTTAAACATTAGTTGTAAGTAGTTAATGATAACACTATTATAAAATAACATGTTATATTACTCAGCACTATTCATAACGAGTTTTGAGTATGAGAACAAATAAAAATGTTACGACATTGACTCAAAACTGAAATACGAAATATGTACCAACATACAATAGTAAAATATTACTGATTTGTATTATTTGTATCTAAACAAAACAAGCAGCTTATAAAGCAATGCCTAATGCAAAATCCAGCTTTTTAGGATTGTAGATTTTTGAGCAGCATTTATGCTGTATGTCGCTGTTGTTATTGGTATGTAACCATGAAGTCCATTGAATGTAGCTGTATCTTTATATAAATTCATACTGTTAATGATTTTATTATAAACCTCGCTAACTATGTTCATCATTCACACGACCTTGCCTTTATTTCAATACTTTAAAATTAGTGATCAATATGATTCTCACGTGTTTTTACATCGCATATTTTTTAATTATTATAGTATGTATAATTATTACCTAAAACAAATATAAATTAAGATCTAGTTATAATAAAGGAAGGTAACAAACGATGTACGCTGTAATAATGGTTGCTTTTAATTTTATATTAATAAACAAAAAAATCATAACTCTGTTTTATTTGTAGATAGTGTTCTGTGGACCTTATTGTAATGTCAGTCTTGTATATGATTCTGTAATGCGGGCTTATGATTCACGAAGTAATGTGCCTAGCTGAACAAATCGACGTAACTGCTTACTACCGCAGCCATTGTATTGTTAGCAGACACCGACGAACCAACATCTTTAATATTTATTTGTTTGTGTTGAACCCTGGTTTGCTGATCGTAGTCTATTGCAAGCACCTACATAATTTTTTTGGGTCAGCCGTTCTTTAACAAAGCGTGGCTTGTTTCAAGTAAATATATATGTCTAACAAAAGATTAGGACTTTGATCGATTAGTCATACAATTATGTACATCCTATAATTTTATTGTTGGTAGGTACCTACTTAGTTACCTACTAGGTACCCAAACGATTACCTATTCAAAATAATGACATTATCAATTACCTAGGTATTATAATTGTAAACTAACCATGTTCCCCCAAAACTTCAGTACAAAATGGTGTTTTTACATCAAAAATAATTCCTAAGGGATTCTCGTCTTCCAATTCGAAAATATTAGAGTTCGATAATGAAGCAACCGTCATCTCTATACAGATATACTTCGCAATTGATCCTAGTTTTGTTTCGACATTTGAGTTGAATTGAATCCAACATGAGGGTTTCACATTTGATTGATGAACGAACGCGACTATCAATGATGTCGCAACTTCCGGGATCAACGTGCATTCCGAGTAAGTATCTATATTCGTACCCAGGCAAAAATGCTTGAAAGAATGATGTCTTAGGTAGATTGAGTAGATCAGTAGCTACCTACCTGGATAAATTATCAATATGCTTAGGCAGAATATTAAATTACTCTCATTAACAACAGTGTTCTACTAAACTCTTCAGGGAATTCAGACAAACACGATGTTAGGACTTCATGGTGTAAAATGTATATAAGTACTGAAATGTAAAATAAATAAATAAAAAAACTGCAAACATTCTAACTTTTTAAGGGAATCAAACACCAATAAATATGTACTTTTATGATAATCTAGGTAGGTATGTATGTACCATATTGTTCGTGTCGGATAAAATAATAGCATTTAATTTAATTAATTACCTGCCAACGTAACGCCATCTGTTATGGAATAGTCGAACTAAAAGCTACAAATAAGTCTGAATCCTTGATCTACCTTAAGTAAAAACATAATTAGATACTTATTATTTTTCTTCTAGTCTATTTTTTTACAAAACACGATTTATTACACCTAAGATTTATTTCTCAAAACATTTATGAAGGTAGGTAGGTATCCAGGTACCTACCTGCCTAGCTTACCTATAGGTAACTACTATCGTGCCGAGCGATATCGTACGTCCTAATCTTGGCTTAAGATAATATCTTCTGCATTAACAGAATGTCTTGGACTTCGTCAGACTTCTTGGAATGCGTATGATTCTCTTCTATTTAGTTCGAGTAAGCTGTAATCTTATCAAGTAGGTAACTAACTACCTACCTAGGTACAGCAAGGTCTCGGGTGTGTAATTTTAATGCAACATATAACATTTAAACGCTATCCTGTTGCTTGCCCTTTCGGACAGGGAGAAAGCTGACAATGCAAAGTAAGCGGGGATTACTTCTTAATAATAAGTTTCAAGTTTAAAATTTACGAATTCCTAATTATTTACTGTGTAGAGCATTTTAATATTTATGCTCTGTATTATTATTTCTTTTATGGGATGGAGCAGACG